TTTATCATAAATGCTCTTAGATTACTGACTTGTGTGTATGAGTTACAGAATTCACACCTATAATATTTTAATTAGTCTTTTGGTGTCTGTAATTTTACACCATTTGAAGCTCATAACCAACTGAGCTAACTGGTCTATTTGCTGTTGTACTTTACGTTTAAAACCAAAATTTGCCATTTTGGACAGCTTCTTTTCACTAGTCATATTTCTTTTATCAATATGTTTTATGTATTCAGGATGGAAAGCTCATCTGATCCAACAACACATAATTGTATTGAATTAATTGTGTTTGCATTGATTAAGCAGACTTTTTTTATTACAACTAGCCCCTCAGTCTGTTACAATTAACCCCAGTTATGGGGTTAGTTGTAATATTGGCACTCATGTCACCTTTGGTTGAATTGTTCATAAACAGCATGTACTGGAAACAAAGTTCTGGTTTTCATTTGTAGCATAAGATGCGTGGGTTGTTTTAAAAGCATGTTAGGGTTTTTTAAAAGCATCAATCTTGCTTAATTACATAAATAAATTAATAAGCAAAAAGGAAAATGTGTTATGCCATGCTCTCCCCTGGGTTATGCCATGCTCTCCCTTACTGCAGTAAAGGGCTGCACAACGTAACGTTTATTAACCGTATCTCACTTACTGTATCATCTGCAACACATTCAGAGACTTTGGCAAATCCGCTTTTAAAACCTGCTCCAGAGAAGGTAGAACACATGTACGTCTATGCTGGGCATAGCAAAATGCATCATCACATGGAATCCTCTCTGTCACTATCACTCTCTGTGCTACTGTGTTTTCTATATGTTTTCTATCACTTAATAAAAGAATCAAGATACTGCCTTTATTGTTCAACGCACATTGTTCACGATCATTTGTGAGTCACTAAGGAAGGAAACTGCTAAGGAAATGCTTATTACTGTTTTGTTTGTTACAATAAAAGATAATCTGAGAAATATATTCATATTAATTTCATCATGCTTAAAATGGTGGTTGTGAAGCAAATAAAATAAAAAATCTACACATTTTCAGGTATATTAGAACACGTTCTCTACATATTAAAATGAATGTGACAACAGCATTAAAAATTATGTTATTAAAGGGGAAGGCCATATAAAAGGCAGAAATAGCCCTTTTTGCCTGTGTATTAAGGGTTAAATTGTGATCATAATAATAGCTTTTGCTATACTGATATCATTCACAAGATCCACCAGTTATAAATAATTTGGGTAAAAATAATGCAGGAGTAATGCAGTCTTTAATCATAATAATAATATGTTTTAACATATTGTATAGCACATCACTAATGCAATATTTAGTAATGTAAGAACAAAGTGATATTTGCTTTATATATATCCATATCACCAGATTAAGACAAAAGCCTGTACAAAAAATCCATCTACACACCAACACAGGTGGCTAAAGCGTTTTGCACAAAACAGCCATATAAACAAAGACCTGTTGATATTAGGATGCAGTATGTGTTATCGTAAAGGGTGTTAACTACTGTATAACGCTGTGATTATGGGTGACCTCATTTAAGAATTATGACAGAGCAGAGTCCATAGGGTAGATGTCTAAACTAACTGTAGAAGATATTCAGGTTATAAAAGTACAAACTCAAAAATATCTGCAATCTCTGTCTCTCTATACTGTCAGTAAAATAATTTAAAAGTTTAATCAGAAATTGCTACATCTAACAAGAAGCTTCCAGAACTGAGGCTTTTCAACCCCAGCACACCAACCGAAAAGCACAATAGATACATGCTCTCTGAGTTATATACTTCAAGAGCAAGGTAGGCTTATCCTGATTTTTTATGTGATATTTTATTATTATTTTAAGCACTAACTCTTGTCCAAGGTGTGAGACATAGCCACTGGAATGTTTCCCTCTCTCTTTCTCTTTTATTCATTTGAACACAATAGGGAGCTCTCTTTAGAGATCCCATCATGGCTAAATATTTATGAATGCAGTAACTAAGTCCAACTTATGGAAACTAAATCTTTAAACGCTTGGCAGACGTTTCACACCCGGCTCTATTACCAGAGAAATTCTTTTGTTCTTACAAGACTAATAATAGTGTTGCAGATGAAGGTGTATTTATAGTCACCTTGCAGCCCCCTGGAACCTCTGACAAGCCTCATATTCACTTGCATTTCCTGTGTTTATTAAACTCTACCTGCGGCTTTGTTATTAACATGCTCAAAAGGACATTAAGCATCCCGTACGAACAAAAGTCAATGATAGATGCTTTTCCCCCAAAAGCTCCAGTAGTAACGCCTACTTTTCCACTGGATATGTGGTGCCACAAGTTAAAAGGTCACTACGAACAGACGACTGTCCAGTCAACCTGTGTTTGACCATGTTTGTGCTTGTACTGGGTCACTACTGACATGTACACACATTAGAGCACTGTGTATTAAATCAGGTGCAGAAAGCTCCCTCTATAATCATGGTCACCGTACTACACTGTATCTCCATGGACAAATAAAAGCCAAGTAAGCTCAAGATATTCCACCTAGAATGAACACTTTCTACACTGCAGAGCTGATGACATCCTTCACTACTCCTATAAAACAAGTTAAATTTAATTGTAAAAACAAAATTTCAGCTTTCTAGATCTATCTACATCAATACCACTAAATCACTTCTCTGGTATGCACAATAATACTGGAATCAAACAGGTATTGGCAGATATTCGCTTAAAAAAATCTGATTAGACAGATTTTTAGATTTCAATGACAAAAGATTTAACCAACTTTATAAAGTAGATATTTAACTATGTACTGATGCTACTCTATAAAAGCAGAATATTGAGGTGACGCTAGGCTAATGTGCTAAAATGTCTACATTTAATTCATTTTAATGTATTAGCTACCCTCCACAAATAAGCATTTGAAAAAATATTGGCTATCCACAAGACAAAAGCCTGTACACAGCCTGTACCCACAATTCCCATATCAGTGCATTCCGACTCCCTAGTGAGGGACTGATATATGGATCTGGTTAAAAATGTGTTCAATCTGTTCTTAATACAAAAATGTGACAGAACATAAAAGAAAGCAATAAAGATCATCCGATCTTCTGTTAGCAGCGCGTAACAAACTGCATTCGTTTAGCATCAGTGCTGTTTTCGTGTGGTCCCTATCTCAGTGAAGCTCCTGTTAGACAAAGCCTGTTGAAACAGGGAGGGATCCCCTTACACAGGCTTAAGCTTCTATCAGCATTACAAAGCTTTCTGCTTAACAATAACCGTACAAGTATCCAATAATTAATGTCAGGAGTGGGGTCTGAGAAGCTAGCAGTGCTGCTTGCTCCAGCTTTTTTGTTTGTTCTGCTTTTTTTTTCAGTGTGTGATTTAGTGAGGGCACCTCGCTAAATGAGAGCCTCACTAATTACAGCTTCATTGCTTCACGCCATTTGCTAATGTCAAATGCGACAGCTACACCCTAGTACCTTTTAACAAGGGCTGTGCTAACCAATCAGCCAGGGTGAGAGAGTAGGCTAGTCACCACATGAAGGGGTCCTCCACCACTGTGAAAGGTGAAGTTCAGCCACAATTAAGGATAAATGATATGGACAGCCATTAGCCAAACACAATGCTAATACAAGCTGAAGTGAGGCTGGGCCGTTCTAGCGCCAGAGGGAGGGAATGGGCAGTAGAGGTCTATTGTTAATAGCATTGTGAAGAGGGTGACCATTACACATCATTACACAAAGAAAAGACTCTAAACTGAGCATCCATCTCAAAAATGAAGAGCTTCTGCTGGGCTAAGTCCATCCGCTCCAGTTAATGACCAGATGGAAATACATGGAAAATCTGGCTGGGTGTATAAAAGGCTATAGGGGGGAAACAGTTTTCACTTTTTCATTTGAGAAAATGAACAAATATCGCAAACAAAAAGGCAGTCAGAACAGAGAGACTGAAAAAGCAAACAAGACTAGGAGAAATAAAGGACGATGAAAATAATTGTAGAAAACAGGTGTCCAAAAAAATTCTTTTCCTCCCTTGAGTATGGTAGGTATTGTCTTATTTTTACAGGACGAGTTTGAGTTATTATTCATTTTCAGATTTGGCACAGCACTCATCAGCAAGTGGTTTAGAAACACAATGAGTGAGAATGAAGCGAGCGACATTTAGCTCTGAAAAACTCGAGGAGAGCTTCAAGTGAACACTGATATCAAAGCTCTTGTGGCAGTGGGCAGCAAAACACCTACTGTCATTTGAATCTAAACATATGCAACATGTACTAGACTACTGCTCTTTCCAATTTAGATAATGTACACATTTTATAGCGTCCTATAAAACACAATAACCTGAAAAATCTCTGCATATCATCCTAATCATAGCTATGGTTGGCTGTCTGTCCTGAAACTGCATCTACATGCTTAAAGTATGTCTGAACACTACAGATGAGAGACGCATAGGTCTAAAACCTTACACGCTACTCACTCAGCACTTTATGTGGAAAGATTAAACTTGACTAAAAATAAAAGTTTAAGGAAGCCTGATAGCAAGCATGAACTTGTGTAGTAAAATGGCAAATATAGATGGCAACATGGCATCAAAACAACAAAAAACACAATGTATTATTGACGTTGAACCAAATACATTACATATCTCTTTAAAGACATGTAAGTACACATCATCGTAAAAGTTATTTATGAAACAAATTACTAATGGCTGGTGTACTTGAAATTCATATAAGTACTATTTGATTTATAATAATAATAGCACAGTGATGTAGGGTAACTGAATCATAACTGCAACTGATAAATGGAGCTGTGGAACAGTAGCACATGCGCCTCTTTCAGAAGGGCTACAGAAAATAAACTGATTCATTTAGCTCTGATCTGAAATTTACGCACATTAGTGTAGTGAGTGCATGCATCACATACATAGCACTACATTCCAGGAAGTGGACTGCAAGCTCCCTACACAGCATCATTTTCACATTGCATGCTAAAACATCATACAATTTAACAGTCCACCTACCTTCAGTTCACGGAAGAAGATGCTGCTTCTGGCCCACTCCACGATAGAGAAGAGCGTCTGGTCAGCCATTTTGCACATGAGGCCGAAAGTGTTCAGTTTCTCGTGCTTGCCTCGGCTGGCCTGCTCCTGCTGAAGATAGGCCAGGATCTTGGCTTGAACCTGGGGCTCATCGGGTTCGCACTTCAGGAGCTCCACCACAAGGTGGGGAAAGCTGGGCGGTGAGCCCCCAGGGTACGCCTCCACATAGGGGTAGCCCATGAGGGACTCAGGCGAGCTTGTGTAAGGGTCGGGGTATTCGGACTTGATGGTGCGGCTCTGGAAGTGGCCATAAGCCTGGTAGCCCTGCAGGCCTCCTGCATGGGGGGGCATGGCCATGCTGACCGGGGAGGTAACAAAGGGGCTACGGTCATAGTCTGCAGGTGGCAGGCCAGCACTGGATGAGCTGTGGTGATGGTGGTGGTGGTGGTGGTGGTGATGGTGGCTAAGCGGGAGCCCCTTAGAGGCTGAGTGAATGTTCTGGATGGCTGAGGAGATGGTGAGGTCGGCCGGCACAGTCTGCATGGCTTGCGTCATGGCCTCCAGCTTCAGACCATTAGCTCGGATCAGGGCCTTCTTCTGCTGCTTCAACGCCCGGTCCCGCTTGTACATGGGGCCGAACTTGTTGCGGCCACCGCGCATACGGTCGGCCCTCACGGCTTGTGGTAGCCAAAAAAGAGGGAAGACAAATATTTGTCATTGTATGAACTTTACATGACTAATACAACATGAACTGATAGAAAATGCGGGGGCTAATTTGGGAGGCTAAAGTCAGTAAAATATTAATTCAGGTAAAACCTGCTTTATAAATGAAACATCACCATATATTTGTAATACAGAAGCGTAACTAAATATAAAAGGAAGCAATAAGTATAATTTTATTTGTCTGACTAAAACAATGCTTTACGCTCACTCACACAATAATCTTCACAGTCTGCTGAGTTGTAATTGGCTTTAGTCACTCTACAGCCTGTATTCTGTATTGCACCATATCAACCTAATGGCATTTTCAAAACTATTCAGATTTGGCCATGCTGAAGGACACAAATTGTTCACTATGCTGAAAAGACACAGGTCACATGCTGAAAAATATGATTTCAAACCAAAGGCAGCCAAAGTCAGGCAGACAGGATAATCATTAGGGTAAATAAATGAAGGCAGAACCGCAACCCAGCAGAGCTCTGATCTCTGCCATGGGGTGGCACACTCCACTTCAGCCTGCTGGACCACATGTTAATTATTTATGCTTAATTATTTCTCTTTTATGCCGCTTAGTGTCGCAGGTGGATGGCTGGAGGATCCAACCTCCTTTTTCACACAGACACACACACTAGGCATATAAACATGCACACACACTCACCACACACACACCAGGACCTGACCAGTGTGAGCTCACTCGTTAGAACAGCCCTCTAATAACCAGAACACACGCCAGAGCGGGAGAAAATGAAATGAATACAACAATTAAAAGAAAAAAGCAGAGTCCAACAGCTGCCTTGGGAGTGATTTTAATGGTCCCTGTCACAGCGGTATGTGTGAGAGCTAGCATGTGTGTCTGTGTGTGTTTGTGTGTGTCACTATGCGTCTGATCTGAGGGAGAGCTGAGTGAGACTGAGAGCCGGCAGCGGTGGTGAGGAGCGTTGTCGCAGCGACCCTGCCAACAGTCCCCATGATGCCCCAATAACCACGAAACCCCAAGCCAATAGAGGTGTGGAGTTTTTTTTGTATTTGAAGCATTAATGTGACTGTTAAAAATGTATCCCAACAAAAAAAAAACAATCTATCTATTATACATTATTGTAGCAACTTTAAGTATTAATGATTCAGAGTAACAGGGTAATTAATGAGCTGGAAACTAATAGTTGGTCCTTTTGGGAAATCACAATTAGATGTGGACCAGGGACTCAGATCACGAATGCATGATTCCTCCTCCTGTGCCCCCCTTCAACCTCCCCTTACCCCCACCCGCACCCAACCCCCTCTCTTTTTTTCTCTCTACTAAGATTTTTTTTCCAGTGTCTAATTAAACAAGGTTATTTACATGCATGTCATACTGATTTCTTTGCCCTAAGAAAGAAGGGGGGAGTTAAAGGTCTTCTCTTTTGTGTGCATATGCACCAGCATTTGTCTGTTTAAGGCTATATGGATCCATGAACCTTGTATGTATATGTACAGATCCCCATGAACCTGTATGTCTGTTTGTGTGTACATGCTATTCGGGTACACTTACTTATTTGTATGTGTGTCTGCATGTACTCTGTTAATCCTCAGACAGGTCTTGTACAAGCAGACTAGTGTGGAGGCAAGCCAGTGTGCCTCTGCTTATTGGCTGATTTATGTGTGTTTAATATACAGGAATATTAAGTGTTGCTTGGGCGAGGATGGCTGTCCTATCACAGGCATATGAATGCCTCCCCTGGCCGGCTCCTGACACACTGTTTGTCATGTCTGCTGGAGCCCTACTTCGAAAGCGCGATATTCCACGCACACACATGAATAGCTATGATACCTATGCATAAGTAATGGGACAGCAAGCTGCCTCTCCATGGCGGCCGGTGAGAGGCGAGACACTCGGGCTGGTTCTCACTCCGAAAAATGACAAAGTGCTCGACGCAGAGGCTGGGGCTCATTTTGAATATCCATTCCCACGTGTTGTGAGATGCTTTGATTCATGGAGGTACTTAATATGGCTAACAGACGTTTGATGAAATTGAAATCATTTTATGCTCCGCTGTGCACAACATTGCTCACAAATGGAATGAATAAACTCTCGCTCTCGCCTATTCTACTTCCTTAACTTTCTTGCCTGTGATAGCGTGGAGGTAAACAAAGTCTCTGCATCTCATCCTTAATCTCTAGCTAAGACCGATATCAAGGATGAGGGAACGGGTCGAGATAATCCATGAGAAGACACAACACACAAGACATATCGCCCATGAAACATATTTTTAGACAATTCAGCACAGCTAGGACAAAAAGTCGCCATCGCTTATCAATACTGATAATGTGACTTCTATGGAGACAGGGAAGGACATGAGTCTGTCTTTGGCACATATGGTAATCTTAAATTAATTAAATAAATAACTATAATTAACCTGTTAAAAAGCCACACATGCGCAGAAATGGCTATGATATCATGTTTAATCATAATAATCAATAATCATATATGATTTATTTCGAAAGACTTCATGTCTTAAAGTATAGACTTTAACTTATGAATTCAAATACTTTTATGGTATAAAATATTACCTGAACACCTTATAATTACAACTGCTATCATATGAACTGTTATGTTACCCTATAATATCTATATAATAATAACACCACTAATATTCTGGTCCTGTTAAAATAAAAACATGTAAATGTAAATTTTTTTAACAAATATTTCAGACTGGAATCTACTAAAAAAAAAGCCCCCAAGAGCAATTTATAATCCAAGTGCCTTCTTGGTCAGTAAGCACTGTAGCTTTGCTGTAGAATGTTTGAGAAATGTTGCAATGAGCCTGCCCTGCCAGGCCGTGGGGAGAGTGCCGCCTAGCTCTCATTTCCCCGGACATCTCTGACAGGATGCTGGAGGGCCTCAGAACCCGCTACTAGAAAATGCCTGCAAATCAAAGCCGGCTAGCTTTAAAATGACATCACTGGAAATTCTGCCCTCCAGCAATTACACAATTAATAGTCATTGGAGTCCTGATTTTACATACTAAGAAGAAAAGTCAGCAAGGGGCTTAAACTTTCAGATACTTGTCAGTGCATTTCAAAACAGTCTGAGGAAAGCTAGCCTGTTCAGGCTCTGCCATACTGACTACAGTGAATTTGTTTCAGTTTCAAGTTACAATAAGAAGCAGAGCCTAGAGAAGAAACCAAGTGGCTTTCTTACCTTCCAGCTTCATGCCGACGTTCAGGCACTTCTGGAAGCGGCAGTAGGGGCAGCGCTTACGCTGGGTTTTGTCTATCTGACAGCTCTGGTTCTCGATGCATGTGTAGCGTTTGTTGTTCTGCACCGTGCGCTTGAAGAAGCCCTGCCGAGGAGGATGAATGAAGATGTCAAACACCTGACCCTCGACATTTGTTAATGTGCTATTCAGCCACGGACAAACAATGCACACACACATTCATTTTCATTTACACGGGACTAAAGGGTGAAACACACTCAAGGCCACACAAGTTGATGCATATGAAAAGAGAGCCAGAGGCTGACAAATGCTTACCAGCCAACACTTACTTGTATAAACACAAACATAGACACACACACACACACACACACAAACTGACATGTGCATACACATACACTGACATGAGTAAACAGGAACAGAGTCAAAAACTCAAATTTGAGATATCCCTTAAATAACTCTCCACAGAGACTGGACATCCTAACGGTTACTGTTAACTATAACACATTTTAAAACCCCACTTTCGCAGGAGCTACATGTAGCAATCCCTAAAATAAAAAGTTACATTTAGCCCAGTGGCACTGTAATAAAAGACAACAATCATCCGCATCTAGAGTGCTACTGGATAAACCCAGAACCTGGCTGCTGTCACACAATAATGTATATGATTTCAGGTCTAATTTTTCTGTATTGTTTCCCATAGGCCACCTACAACACACATCAGATGCAATTTCAGTCTAACTTTTTATATTTTAATATATGTCTTTGATAACAAATAAAAAATATCACACAAGTAATATTATTCAATGTCCACATAAATCTATTTTAAAATTCCTATCACTGAAATTTCAGATTAACTGCAGCCAAATTACTTTCAGCTCTGCAGAGGCAGAGATATCTTAAAAATGTATAATATATAGTGTCTCCACCATCTCAGCTCTTCTTATTCATACATTAGAAATAAGTGTAAAAATCCAATAAATAATATCCATAATTTACAGCGTCTGAATTACAAGATTTCATCTATAACAGGGCTGAATTCATTTTCAGAGCAGGAGAAAATCAAATGGGAAAAAGCATTAACTTATTCTAGATCACCACCATAGGGAGAGTTGTTAAACCTGCCCCATTTTGATCTGAAATGATCAATATTGCATAGAACTCTCTCACTCTCTGTTAAACACATACACACACACAGACACACAAACACACATGCACGCACAGCAGTTCTGCATTCCTCTATGCAGTGCCTCAAAACTAAAAATCTAACAATAATTTTGGCTCTACAGCTAAAGCCACTCTGTCTTTCGATTATCCCACTGCCAATTTTTATTTCCTACAGTTTTTGAAACGTGCAACTGTAATGCAAAAGCGTGGGCCAATAACTGTACTTAATGGGCTCGTGTGTAGCTCCTATGACCTTTTGTAGGGCTGCTTATTTCTATTAAAGCACATTTATGAGCCAAACTCTGGCAAATCATTGACTGGTTACAGCTCAGAGAGAAAACATATGTTAAAAAATAAATAAAACACAGAATAAAAATAAATCAAATAATATGCTAGTAAAATATGAATGAGTGAAACAAAGCAGCATGAAAGTGCATTCTATAACGCAACTTAGATATGTAAGAATTATATATCTGTTGCAGATGTTTTTCTATCTTTTAAACATAATGCTATTGTGACTGCGATTTAATTCACTGCTATTTATTTGAATGGAAAACTCACAAAAGAGTTCATCTTCATATGTGCGTGTACTGATCTCCTAAACTCTCAACATCTGGATTTTCCAAGAATTTCCCACTACTCTACATCACATGCCCCTCAAAGTCCAAACGATATCTCAACGTAAAGACTGAGACAACATTCAGGTTAACAAAAATTAAAACCACCCTCGCTCAACTATCTTGACATCTATGAATGACAAATTAGGCATGACATCAAGTTCAGCACCTCATAACATCTGATAACCTATGCAACTCTGCAAGAGATCCACATGACGTGTACTTTTGACAAACCGGCGCTTTGAACATGCGCCGTCTCAGTAGATTTCTCCTGACGCCTGAGCTCTTTTCTTTCTTTCTCTAATATTAACTGCAGAGAAGAGCACCACACACCTTGCAGCTCTCACAGGTGAGCAAACCGTAGTGATATCCGGAAACCTTGTCTCCGCACACGGGACACATCTCGTCCAAGTCTTCGTCGTAGGAGTAGTCCATCATTTTAAACTGGGGGGCTGGAAAAGCACAAACACCACAAACACAACATAAGGTCAGAGATACAACAAAAAATTCTCTTTATAATGAATTTCTTCTCACAGCCTGCTATTTTACAAACCATGCAACTAACAGAAGGTTTTGCAGCGTACCATTTAGACATGGGTTAAGCTTCCACACATCCTACAGTAGCCTACAGTTGTATGAAAATACAAGGGGAAAAAAAAAAGTTTGTCTGAGGGAAATAGCAGCGAAAGTCTGGTCTAGTGTGGAGGATGGTCGCAGCCAGGGCAAACATCCCTTTCAATCTCGTTAATATTCATGATGGCTGATAAATTGGAGGCAGAAGCTCTGGAGTTGGAGTGGAGGAGCTTTTAGCCACAAGGCAAAGGAAAGCACAGCAGCACTTTTAACCACGGGCTCATGTGTGCAAGCAAATTAACAAATCTACTCCAACGCTTCTCCCTCCACACTTTAGGTCGAAGCCTCTGCATGTTCCCGTATCTGCTGTTTCTCTTATTTCATCTTTACTGTATGTGATGCTGATGGGCTCATGTGTCGACGCCGTGTTCACTTAGAAAGCGTGAACTGTAGAAATGCACTCAAAGCTTTTTGCAACACATTAATATTCACGTTGTGAAAAAATGTATTTTTTTTTATCCATAAAACAGAGTGGGTGGAATTGCGCTGCTATCTCGCTAATTTAAACCGTTGCGAGGCCAAGACATGAGCCTTCAGAAAAGAAACACATAAGAAATAAAACTAAATTCGTTCGTTGCGTACATGGCAGCGTTTAATTGCTTTACAGTCTGTAATCTCTATCGTGTATTAATGATTACCGAGCGGTGCTAGTTTTAACCGTGCCGAGAGTAAAACAGGGAGCTTTTAATGGGAGAACACTGTGCGCTCTGAAATGCAACAAGTTTTTTTTCTGTTGCCTTTTTTTCTCGAATTAGAAATTCGCATACATACCGCCAATTCTTTCAGCATTTTACGGATGTTTACAACTTTCTAGAGCACGGAATCGCCTTTTAAACGCTTTTTCTATAAATCAAATGATTTGTACTGGCTAAACTTAACGCAAAAAAATGAAAGACGAATTTTCCTTCAGGTAAAGGAATAACATTTTAACAGTGGAACAGTCCTCACGGCGCTTTAAATCAACTTTCAACCGCTGAGTGACTGAAACACGCACAAATCAGCGCAGCACTAACTGCTGCTCATCTTCAAGAACTTATATATGTAAGTTTGTTTACTTAGAAAACGTTTCAGCACAATTAAGTCAATAAAAAAGAAGTGAAGAAGAAAAAAAAAAAATCACATTTTTAACGTTGCCACGCGCTCATATAGCAAAATATTATATTCAATTTCTCTTTTTACTTTGTTGTAATTATAAGGTCAGTGCAATAAAAAGCCAATTTAAAAGTCATTAAGCCTAAAATTTGTGCTCTACATTGAAACCAGAACCACCATCTCCATTTTACTACTGACATTTTTGATTGATTATCTATTGGGTTAAAAATGGGCAAAATCACCACCAAATCTTTTCCTGCCTTGCAGAAGCAAACGGCGAGATAGAGTAAAAGAATCTGTCTACATCAAGCACTATTCTCTGAAATATGGAACTTAGTTTTGCCAGTTTGGGCTTAGAACCGTTGCAACAAAAGTTAACGCAGACCAAGACAAAACAGACATGAAAAAGACACGATTCGCCAAACTACAACAAAACCCGGTGGAGTAGGTTTATAAGACACCCCGAGGGTCCTACAATGACTTTCAATAGTGCCACGACGCACTATGAAGCCTCACTGACAGCAACATCTGCCCCGTGCTCTGTGATTTTGGCCTCGGCCAAAAAGGAAACCGCAGTTTCACACGTTGCCCCATAATACTATGCGCTCTCCGCGGCCTCCTTACCTTGCATGTTTCCAGGCATGTGGTGGCCCTGTTCCCCATGCGACCGAGCGAGTCCCAGAGAGTCTGACTCGACTTTGGGCAGCATGACAGCTCCGCTAAGCCGAAGGGGACCCGCCGCTCCGCCCGGTGATCCACCTGGACGCGACAGGAGACACCAGAGAGGCTCACAACAGTCCACAAAATCCCCTGCGTTATCCCTACACCTCAGCGCGGGGAGTGCTGACTACAGTCTTTTTCTCTCTTAGCTACAGCCGAGCGGTGAGTGAGTTCATGCTGAGGAGACGGACATCTAGCTACTGCACATCAACACTAACACAGCTCGAGCCGAGCAGTGAGAAGCTAAAAACACTGAGGAAAACAGCCCGAGGTGCGCAAAGTGACGAGTTTTACCCTCACCGGCTAAGAGTTAACGAGATTTCCGAGGTAGTAGCCTAAACCCCCCAAAAACGGCGCGTCGTCAGGCTCGTCCACGGTCCAGTCGAACCGGGAGTTGGCGGACTGTGAGGAAGTTTTCTCAGCGTTGGCTCGGACTCGCCGGCCCCCCTCTGCCCGCCGTGCGCTGATGTGAACTTCAAACCCCGCTGCTCTCACCGCTTTGTTTACGCCGCACCGACGCCGCTTCGGCCAATCAACGCCTCGTTCGCCTCGCTGACGTCACGCCCCCCGACCAATCACCGTGCCGAGGAGAGCGGCGGCGCTTCTGCCCCTTTTCTCGCCCGGAACACAGCGGCGCGGACGCGGCGTAATGATGGAGCTCAAAGCGCCGGGAAAACGCCGGGACGCACAAGACACAAAACAAAGTTTATGAAGTGCAGTGAGAGAACAGCAGCTCTGGAGGTACGTCAGCCAGGAGCGCACAGCCAGAGCCGTCATAACTACCTATCATAAGTGTGCGTATTAATGCAGCCATATGGCACAGAGTGAGTGAATGGGACTTTGGAAATCAGTGCAAACAAATAAAAAATCTCAAGTTAAAATAAAAATATACAGCAAAGGTCATAAAACAAAGTGACAGGAAAGCCTAGTGAAGTCAAATAAATTTCTAATAAAGTTCAAGCGAATTTCTAGTGGCGCAAATTTTAACCACAACAGAGAATTTATGTCCAAGAAATAAAAACGGGATACCGCCCATATATGCATGGATTTATCAATATGTGATCTGAGTGTCTGCACTAAGCAGGTCTTTGGAAAACGTGTATAAAGGCTCCATGGTTTATTTCTTACAGACTAACTTTGCTTATGGAAATTGTAGATTCCGTTTGCATGCCAAAGGCAACATTCGTGAAGATAATTTCATATTTTTCTGACTATCCCAACGTGAAATTAAATCGCAGCCTACAGCTGAACAGAGTCACTCTGAGTTTTCCCATAAATACACACAGGATAGGCACACAGACTCAGGAAAAGGAACATTTAAGTGCCACACGTTGAAGCCTCATCAAGTTCACGGAGACTCCGAGCGCTGATCAGCCTTATCAAACACGCCGCTTCCACGTGCTGATAATTTAACCCAGCACGAAAAAAAAAAAATCCAAAATAAAAAAAATGACTATACTATAACATGAACTTTCGAATTCATTCTGAAGTGTGTCGTTATAAGCCAAGCTGCTAATAAATCAGATGCGTTTACTTGTTCACATTTGGCGCACTAAATATGTCAATTTGTACTAGCTTGAAATAATTATAATAATAATAACAACAACAACAACAATAATAATAATAATAATAATAGGACACAATTAAGAATAATAATTTTCATAGCAAAATAAATAATTTTAAACGACAAGATAACAATAATTTCAGAAATACCAGACTTGTATTAGCGCAAAAGCAACAAAAGGTGTATTAAATGTCACAACACAAAGCGACGATAACTACCGCTTACAAAAACAACGGTTTAGCCTTTCGCCAAAAATAATAACTAACTGAAACTTTTAGTACTTAATATCAGAATAAAGGGACAGATTGCCGTTTACCGGGCCTTTAAAACACTCCAACACCACAAAATGTTCAGCCCTTTCACAGCATGTGGACTCACTCCGCATCACTTCTGCTCTGTGGAAATATTTCATCGTAATTAAAATAAGCTGCCGTGTGCCCTTTATAGCTTGCAGGCTAAATCCAGAACTCCATACGCTAAAGCTCAGTGAAAGCCTGGCCTGCTCTCTCTCGACCAGAGGCTCTTCAGAGCCGACATGAGCGCTTATAACAGCTCTTATTCCCTCTGAAATCTGCCCCAGGCTAACTAGCCTAACTACTTACCTAAATTTGCCCCATCCTCACTGGACTCACCTGGTCCTACTTCACTCTCAGGACTTGAAGACATAGCACACTAAGTTTAAAAACCCCAGTGGCCGCTCAGTTAAGGTTAGGAAACTAAACTTTACTTTAGAATTTTTGTCATTTTTCTGTCCTCCCTCACAGGCAGAGAGAGCTGTGAGTTTGACTGTTTCACAGCTTCATGTTCACAGGTGAGGGGAGCTACGGCTAACAGCTCGTGTCGCCTCTCGCGCCTCCTTCCCGCGCTAATCAACAGCGTCCAAACACCCTGTTCCCTGATTGGCCCGTCCGAGTCACGTGGTGCCGGCCTCATCGATAACGACCAGTTATAAAGTGACACACGAGTAGATAAGAGCGAGCTGACGGATAGCAGTAGAGGAATGATTAACCGGTGGGAAGAGCGAGGTAAAACTGTTATCCGAAGAAAGGTGGTAAAAAACGAGATCAAAAGACGAGGCAACAGGTGAACAGAGAATATACGCAAACTTTGAACTGTTTAGACAATCATTCTGTATACATTTCTATATTTTATTGTTGTTTTCTTGCTATTTTGAAGAACCTGGTTCTTCAAGTGCAGTTCTGAACAGGTTGGGATAGCAGAGATTTACATCATTTTTGGTAGGAACATAGGTAGCCTAGATAATTATCTGATAAAGGATGTGACCAGCTAAGACAGTACACAAAAAATCAAAGGCAAGTAAATAGAAATCTGGGATTTTCATTTTTATACATGACACCAGTGTGGTGGCTTTATTGATTTGGCTATTTAGGTCATGTGATCTGTCTTATATTTTCTACTTGTTCATACAGTGAACAAATTACTCTTCCCTAAATTAATAGTAGGTTTGAAACAGTGCTTTTCCATAATAATAATTTTGTGGGTTAATAAAATATGACATAAAATAAAATTTGGGGGGATGCACCAATAGGGGAAATCTACACTCTCACAAAAAAAGGTAGTAAACTGTCACTGGGGCAGTACCCCTCTTGTCACTGGGGTAGGACCCTCAAGGGTACATCTCAGTACCTTTAGTCAGGGAATAAAATTGTACCACTGAAATGATATTTTCTAAATTGTATTGACTTCACACACCCCGTCTCGCCTCCAGGCTTTTTATTTTATTGTTCTGTTTTAAAACATTAGCTTATGAAAAGATACAAATATGTACTTTTCACCTGGAAAAACTTATTTAAGGTACACAATTGGACCTTAAAACCTCTGTTGTACCTCTGAGGGTACATTAACATTGCTTGTACCTTAATCAATGAAAGATGTACCTGCACAGAACCTTTATTTCTAACAGTGAAGGCCAATGCAGATCTACCTGTACAAATCTGCCAATGCTGATATTTACACATTTATAAAATAAAGAAATAAGGACTTCATCTACCTGGATTAGGATTACGGAGAAACAATTTCTGTAGTGTTACAAAGGCAGTAAAATGATAAAATGCAGATATTTTAGCATCAACTAACCCGTCTCTTCTTCAAGACAAATGCATCGAATCTCGGTTTAAAATATTAGTCAAATCTAAACATCAGAAGAGATAATTCTTTTAAGCAGTATCTGCCAGTACAGACATGATTCCAATATCATTGTGCATATCTAAAATTACTTCCACTGAGCGCTCTTCAAACACCAGAGTCAGAAAAAGGCAAAAGTTCTGCAACACAAAAAGGACAACAGTACATCTAAATCTAAACATGTGGAAAAAGGTGGTCTACCAGCATGAGTGGCCCAGTAAACACTGGCCTGTTGACTGAGGTGAGAGGACCTAATGACCCTGCCATCGCTGGCCCACGTAGCAGCTACAATGCCAACAGAGCGTGGCTGTCTTGACTACCATAAGTGGATGTGCTCTGATAACAGAAGTGTACCTGAGAGCTCTTTGCTTACCTGTGAGATTACCGGCCCAGCGAGGCTCAAAGCCAGGGGATTTGTCAACTTAACCCTGTCTCCTCTTTTTTCTCTTCCTCCAACCTCGTTTTATAACACTGAGTGGAGCCCAGAGCCCTTTACTGCAGAATAAACCAGCTAGGCCTAACGCAGGAGGGGTCAAGGTTTCAATCTCAGAGGAGATGGCTTCAGGAGCTAATGAAACAGGGATCATGCACTGTTAGTCCGATGCATTTTTATTTATTTATTCACATGTAGGGCAAGAGTTATGTCCACTTTTATATCAAACATGATGATTCAATAGAATACATTTCTTGTGTGTGACTGTGTTTGTATGTGTGTTGTCACATTTCAGGGTAATATGCTTGCCTTACTTAAAAGTGCTGCCCAAATTTGGATGCTTTGTTATCTGCTTTTATTGCACGTTAGATAGCATAAAAATTATATTTCTAGAATGAAAGTTTATTAGAAAACAGTTAAAGAACAACTTGTGAAATGAAGAAAATTTGTGAGTTTCTCATCAAGTCAAACATTGTCCACCACAATGTCCTCTACTGGAAACTTTGATGCAACTTCCTAACTGTTGTATAAAAGTAAATATGTCCCTTATGACACAGTGATTCTGATAATAAACTGAACATTATAAAATGCAATGAATTATGTGCACTCTTTGGACTTGTAGCTGTTTACATATAGTTGCATAGATATATAGTTGAGGAACAGGTACTATCATTTATTTAATTTCCAGTCAAAATGCCCATACAAGTTTATTTTTGTGATGTGCAAAACCTGGTAAACCAACAAAACTGACAGATGAACAGTACTTAAAGCTCCACTCATGCTTCAGATCTGAAAAAAATGTGTTTCTGTCCATCCTCCACCTTTGAGAAGATGGCTCAACACTATGGGTCTGAAAGGATGTGTAGCTGTCAAGAAGAAAGGGAAACACCTGACCAGACATCTGACCAGACCTCATCAAACATTGAGGGCGTTTGGGATTACTTGACTCACGGAAGGCATAAAATACAACCAATGTCTAAGACTGAACTTTGGAGGTGTGGAAAAATATCCCTGCAGATTTCTTTGAAAAACCCAAAGCAAGTCTCCTTAAAAGAATGGAAGCTGTAATAAAGGTAAATAGTGAACATTTTAAATCCTGAAAAATGTGAAATTACATTTAGTTTTTGAGGTTTTTGCATAATGTCTGTTAAATATTCACTTCTATTAAAAGATACTTTCGCACAAGTCATGGTGCTTTATTATCCAGGTGTTGTTGGCCACAGCTATATGCAGAGTACATATGCAGAGTTTTCTCTTGACTAACAGTGTGTTCGCTACCCAGCTCATGTCTCACTCTCTCAGCTGTATGACTACTCCCCTTGCCCTTCACAATAAGAGTCCTTAGCAAATATCCCAGTGAATGATGCAAGAGAATGAAGAACGTAAAATTAACCTGTAAAAACATTTCTGAAACATGCTACAATATATTCTCTGCTATTTTTTCCTGAGGCTAGAAAACGAATAATGGCTGTTTTGACTGGAAATTAAATAAATGAAGAGTGGTCTCTGGCTTTTGTATGGTACTGTAAAAGACAAAGGGCGTGGGACATCCAGATTCTGTGGATGTTTCCTGGTTGTGACAGAACGACTCTTTGTTTTGAATGGTATAAATCGTGTGTGTGTGTAGGTGGGGATGTTATCATTACCACCAGCGGCTTGTCTATTACAGAGTGTGAGACTCATGTTATGTTGACCTTCCCCGTTTGTCATCAGAGTGCTGTATAGTAGAAACCAGGAGATGTGCGAGAGGTGTGTGTGTATGTGTGCGTGTGTGTTGCTGAGCATTGTCGGCAGAGTAAACAGTACTCCAAGCCTGGGAAAAGGCCGGGATGTGTGCCATGGCACTTCTGACTCATACGCCTCGGTTATCATGTTTGTTTCATGGTTCTACCTGTGATATGTTTACTTTAGCATTCTTCTCTTTTCTGCGGAGCGCCGCTGGCAGGCATGTTCCCAGCGAGAGGAATGTCCGTGCTCCAATCGGATCTGTCCCGTCCCGTGTTTAATTAAAACCCATATGTTTCCCTCTGCTCCTCTCCTCTTTCTCTCTGGTACCATGTGAGAGAGGGAGAAAAAAAAAAGAGAGAACATGTCCTAGTGCTGCTAGATCCATTAGTAGGTCAAGCAACAGTCATTGTTCATTGCTTCCTATATGCTTCTATTTTCAAGAGCTTCAAGGAACAATGGTGCTTGCGGAGCCATCAGGTGTTTGCAAAATCAAAACAAAGCCTGAGAGGCCGAAGCGAAAGCTTCAGAAGGAGACAACGGACTCGTATGTTTATCAACACAATGTTGCTTTCACCGTCTTATCTGTGACATAGCAAAGTGGGTTGATCCTGACATTGGGTGTTAAGTTAAAGCTTCATTTGTTTGTGATAGGTTTCTCATATGTTCTTGGGCTGGGGAGTAAATATGAAACCAGCTGTGCTTGGAATGTCAGGTTGATACCGTGCATTGTCCAGCCATATGGATGGTGCAGAGGGATGTGGAAATGGTACATGAGCATGCCCGATGTGGAAGTGTAGGACAGCATCCTTTGAAGCATTTGATTAACACATTACATTCACAGTACATGTTAGTAAAGGGCACTCTGTGCTTCTTTAAACTTGTGCAAACTTTACATACATAAAAACAGATGCATCAGTTTTCCAATATTGCCATGCAATTTTTTGGAATTTCGTACTGTCTTTTTGGAATCACATCTGCAAGCACAGAATAACTGTAAACTATAATTCTGATGCACCAATTTAAAGATTTAAATACCTAAATAACCTGAATGATCTAAGTGAGATTCTAAAAAGGTGATTCCAAAGGCTAAAAGAAGGATAATTGTCCTGGAATTCTGGAACATTTTCTCAGAATCTGGGATACATTTTTTTTTTTTATTTTAAATCTCATATATAAGCATTTAATTATAGATAATAAAGATAATTATGGCCTGATTCAAAGGTTTACCTTAACATTTTAAAAAGGGATATTGTTTTCTGCACACATCAGCCTACAAACATGGCATGAACACAAACATAGATGGAAAAATCTGCCGCATAAAACATTCTCGTTATTGGGTGGAATCCTCTCTGGTTCACCACAGAGCCGAACGGTTTGTCTTAAATCACAGGTGATGGAGCGACACTGACACGCTGGCCTCTCTCCCCTCCGTCTGACCCCTGCACACGCCATTCTCCCTCCTGTGCCGCCCCTTTCCTCACACGGGATCTGGGCAGCCGTGCAGAACAGAGGACTCAGGCCAGCTGAGCATCAGTGCCCTTATTCCCTTGCAATAGCCCAATCCACCACTACGCTAATGGCTCAGAACTGATAAGAGCATACTAGGAGACCCTTAAGTATGTTTGGGCCACATCAGAGAAGCATTAAGATATTCCTTTTTTTACCTCTCAAGGACTCACAGTGCACACCCTTAGAAGGGCAATTATCACCTTGTCAATATCGTTAATCCATTCTGCCATTTTCAATGATATCTGCTTGAGTCAACTGTAACACATAATAAAAGCTAATTGCACATAACAACCCTGGATCAATAAATTAGGAGGTGGCAAGGCATGGCCTTTAAAGGCTTAAGAGATGGAGAATTTTAATGACATGTGTAATATATATATATATATATATTTTTTTTTTTCAGAAGTGCATTAGTGGATTCTCATAGAGTTTCATGCTGATAATCTTCTTGTTATACTAGATGTCTATTAGGCTGTGGTATACGCCTAATTAGGCCGAAATGCTGCCCACGGTTAGCACATGCACAAGTCACAATGGCCTCAGGAATGGCTCATTTCCCTACCAACAAGGCTTTGTACCTGCAGGGAAAGCTACACTCTTAAAAATAAAAGTGCCAAAAAGTGTTCCTGGGAGTGATGCCATAGAAGATCCATATTTGTTTCCCTAAAGAACGTTTTAATAGACGCTATTTTTAGAGACGCCTTTTTGCCTTTTGTTAAAGAACCTCAACATGATGGAAAGATTCTATACTTATTAATTTATTTTTCAAAGAACTGTATGTCCAAGACAAGAACCATCTGGGAACATTTGGTTTTGAGAGTGTACCGCTTTCCTAAGACACCTAGAAGCTCGCAGACGAAGTCAAAGAAGAGTTTTGTCTGGCTGAAATGCACTGTTTGCTGACCTCTTCCTGAGGGACAGCACCAGTGAGGCTCCTTATTGCACTCAGACTGCATTTACTCACCCTGTCTCTTTGTCTGCTTCTTCCATCATCAAGAGTTGCCATTGTGCTGGCTTAGACGTGGGCTAATGTCGAGTAAATACTTTGCCTAACCATTAACGCGGGGACGCTGTTTGAACAGTCCCACACACTGGAATGGCATTTACGGTGGGGGGCCTATTTTGATAGGGAAGAATCTCCATCAATTAGTCCCATCACACGCTGCTTTATCCTCTTGCCAGGGATGAGGTGTGCATGCGAGAGGGAGAAAGAGAGAAAGAGAGAGAGAAAATGATACAGTTTGCCCAGCGTTTAATGGCACTCTAACCCAAGAGCCGATCATTAACCCATTAGACTAACATGTCTCCGCAGCTTTCCCATAGGAGCCTCTTTGAGAGTAGCGTCTTTTCTCCCTGTGTTTCAGAGCTTACTGTAAATCCGAGGCTCAGGGGAGATGTGGGGAGAAATCATAGCGCACATGCTAAGCTCACAAGGGCTCTTGCTCATTACCCAAGGTGTTAACAACTGCAGTGGTGGTTTGGAAGCTTAGGTGTTTATGCACTGTGCCTACACCATTTCTGGAAACATTCTCTCTTTAAAAAGGCCTCAGCAAACATTATGCAAGGTGTTTACTGACTTGTGTAATTCAGAAGAACAATTATAAATATGCCTGTGAACTTGAGAGCTCATATGCATGTTTTAACCTATGCTCCATTCATTTTCAAAGGTCAAAAATCCAACGAACATTAACCCCTTAAACTCAAAAGGCCTGTATGTAAATCTACACTACATAATTAACAATTTAGTTTCATAATAAGTCTTATTATTAATGACTAAATAATAAGCATAGAGTTCTAGACAGTGGTGCAACTACCGGCAATGCAGGGGCCAATCACACTATAGATTGTACTTTGGATGGGGGCCCCCTAATGTCTTTATTTGACCCCTTTATATTGCTACTCACACAATTTTACACCCAGCAGCTTCGACACTTTCTTTGTTAAATTAAGCGTAATGTGGATGACAGGGACAATAAGAAAGAGACACCTACGTTAACAGTTACACCGTACAAGATAAATGACATTTACAAGGTCTGTGCTAACAAGAGACTGATGGGTAATAGTGAGAGCACATTCAGAGAATCTTTTTTTATTTTTAGTTATGACAACTCAATAACAAATATTAACCATTAGCCTACATTAGCACCAACTTGAAATATAGCAATAGTAAGTATAGTAACGCCAGAAGTATACTCAACGTGAACACAAATGACAACACCCGGCCAACGCATTGTAAATGCATGTTCCTGCTGTACAAACTCAATGTGCATGTAAATTGTGTTGTGACACATTTAAGAACGCAATGACGAGTGAATAATTGCGCAGCTCAAAGCGTTTGCGTGTTTGCATGAAGTATATGATTGCATGAAGTATGATTATCCATATGGTATCAGAAAGTCAACAGACTGATGGCAATCTGCAATCATATTATGCAATCATTTGTTTTAAAATAAAATTTGTATTATCCTAAGCCAACAATTATAGGTCTGTAAAATCAAGACATGTTTAACGCATAAAGTATTGATAAATGAAATCAAATATTGCCCTCAACATTAAAAAAATTATCAACCTGCAAATATGTAAATTGTTGCATCACTAATAACAATTAATCAAACAATTTACTTCTTTTTGCACCGGGGCCCATAAACACTACCAGAGATATAAACCAAGCGTATTATTTTCTTTCTTATTCATAGAAAACCATCCTAATGAGGGGTGTTATTGACATCATGTCGTTGAGGTCCATGGGGCTGTGTTTGTTTTGGCTCGAGCGGGCCAGCATTGTGTCGAGGAGTACTCCGTCTATTTCTTCCTTCTCTCCATGACCCTACTCTTCCTGTCTGGCAGCAGCCCCATTCTCACAGATATGGAAAGGCGCCCAAATCAAACATGCGTCTTCAATTTGGCCTTATGAGCAAAACAATCACACGCTCCTTCCTCCAGAATCCCTGCCGTGACAAGTTCCCCCCTGCCCTGACGGGAGAGCGCGGGACGTGGCCGTGCGGGGTGAAATTCAGGATTGACGGAAGTTTGGACTGAGGATTTGGGAGGGATCTGGATGTAAATTGGGCTTTAATGGCAGATGCTCGGCAAGGCAGGGAAGACTTGATCTGAGAGGCTGGAGAAGCTTTGTATATTTTCTGAGTTTGGCGGCTAGTGGAAACAGCTTGGGCCAGAGTGAGGAGGACCACCCATGTCCTTTCTCTCCAGGAGAGAGCTCCAGAGCTCCACTGCCATTCATTAGAGCCCTTCTCTGAGGTGGGTTCTGCGGCCAGGACACCTGTGAACTCAGAAGTGGGCCATCACCGAAATCCCTGATCCACTTTCTGGGTAAAAATCACTTCCAGCTTCTGCAGCCATGCCGGAATCCTCCCCATATGTTTCTCATGCAGAAAGCATGCAACAAAATCTCACGTCCACACTCAGGTCAACGTGTTACAGCAAAATGTGAACATCATGAAAAAAATACTCTTAAAAGGTACTCACCAGCCATTATGTGAGAAAATAAATGTCATTCCATGTGGAATTCGGGCCTTCTCGGCCCCCTGGCTGGGGTGACGTTGTATGAAATATTTTACAAGAAACAGACTGGATATAAATGGGGGTTCGATCTATCCCCACAGTGATCTGGGGCCTTTATAGGGACTTTGAGGTGTTTTACCTCATGTAGACGCCAATAAATCTGTCTCCCGCGGAGATTCGTCTCCTGACTCCTGGAGGGAACAAATTGTGGCTTTCAAAGGGGGCAAAAGAAGTGACCTGTCAGACCACGCCATTCATCACTGGGACAAAACGCTCTCAATTCTTTCTGCTGACCATGTCCAATCTCCCTGCAAAGCACATTCAGGAGATGCAGACCTTTGAATATTTTCATTTGATCAATATTTGCTCATTCATTTGCAAGCCACACAAGGACCCACTAATTAGATTTTTCTTTTTATCCTTCTTATGGTCCACTGTTGTTTTAGTTGGCCAGTAGGGCCAAACGAGACTATGCAGGAGATTCTGCATGAAAAGAAGATGCCACATTTTGACTCACACATGCATCAGCACAAAATCCGGCTATAGTAATTATAGAATAATTTATGTGCTAATGAATTAAATAGCTGGCGTAAATGTATGATTTCATTCAACTATAAAAAGTTGGCAGCTGCTGTGGTAAAATAATTAAAGACCTCCGGCTAAATTAGTCTAGTTGCCAGCAGCCTGACAAGTGTTTTCCTTCCACACTATGGCTGGAATTTAGCACCTGACACATGTTCATGCCTACACACATAGATGAATGAACATTTTGTTGCCACATAAGCAGTTCAGTCATATTCCTGTAATTAAACAGATTTAAAGGGGAATTCCACCAGTTTTTCAAAATTTCTGCCTGATTCAGTCATTGGGGTGTAAATAAAATTGTTCAGAGTGGTTTTATGTGAAATGGTTAATTATAGACTTGCTGACTCAGATTTGTTTCACAGTGGTGGTAACAGGAACCAGGGGTCATGATGTCTATAATGCAAATCTAGCCATTTTGTTTACTATTTATAACCACCAATGAACAATGAATCCTCTGAGATTTTATATGTAATGCTGAAACGGCTTTTCAAATACAAACCTGAATTGCAAAACAGCTGGGACAATATGTTTAATGCTAATAAAACCAGAAAGCAGTGATTTAGTCTGTTATGTTTGATCTGTATTAAATAATCTTAATAAAATGAGCAGAACACAATATTTGATGTTTAAGAATTTTTTGTAGGCACATGCTCATTTTAAATTTCATGTCTGTAACATGTTCCTAAAAATGGCACAGGAGCATGTTTACCACTGTGTTACATCACTTTTTTTTAAATAATCATTTGTGGACTATATATTTTGTGCCACACATTTTCAGTCAAGACAGTTCCAGACTGCAGGCAGGCCAGTCTAGCACTCACCCTCTCTGATTACACAGCAACCCTTTGTAACAGGTACAGAGTGTGGCTTGGCATTGTTAGGTTGAAAAAAGGGTTAAAGGTTATAGAAATCTGTAATAAAACTTTGGCCCCTGCCAGTTGGCCCTGGCAATGTAAGGGGTTAATGGTGCCTTCACAGGGCACTAATACAACCCCATACCATGGGAGACCCTGGCTTTTGAACCTTATCCTGGTAAAAATTTGAATCGTCTGACCACAATTCACATTTCCACTGTGCATTAGTCCATTTCAGATGAACTGGAACCCAGAGAAGTTGGCGGTGTTTCTGGACGTTGATGAAAACGTGCATTTTGATGGACTGAAGGTTATTCAGTTGTGCTTTTCTGCCTTGCCCTTTTCGCACTGAGATTTCCTTGAATTCCCTAAGCCCTTTGGTAATATTATGGAATACTCTGGAATACTTGCTGGCGCATTTTTGGTAAAGTGGTGAGCCTTGACTCCTTTGTGATAAGGGCCTTTTCTGGATACTCCTTTTATACCCAAACATGATCACCTGTTTAAGGTTGTTTTTAGCTTTGAACATTTCACAATGTTCATAATCTTAAACTGTACCATCTCAACTTCTTTGGAATGAGTTGCAGACATCTGTTTCAGAAAACAATGAACCGTAAATATGTTGTCTTAGGTAATGTTTTAATTTAAATACAGGTCAAAGTGTATTTAAAAGTCACTTTCTGTTTTTGTTTGCAATTATTTGTCTCAACTTTTTTTTTTTGTATGTTTCAGATCATACCTTTTCTGAAAATGCAAAACAATGTCACACGTACTGGGCAACGTATTTGTAATCTTTTCATGTGAGCAAGTTTTAAAGGCATTAAACACTTCAGCTGTCTGGTTCCCATCACCACCACTGTGAACAATTCTGACTCAGTAAATTTTTCTAGAACAGAGCATTTCACATCAAACCACTCACCTGAATGATTTAATTATGCAGAAATTTTGAAAAAACTGATGAACTGCTTTAAATAACCATTTTAATTTGTGTGCATGGTCCATGGAACCTCATGTTGTGGATGTGGAACCTCTATGTTGTGGTGTGTGGTGTTGGTGGGAACCCATGAGCAAAGCCAGTTAAGCGTTTAATTGACTCAGAGCCAATTTATACAGAATTACAAGGTACTGATATTATAGATAATCCAATTAATTATAAAAATATAGTTATTAATCTTTATGCATTAATAACATGTGTGTGTTATTTGTTGCATCATGTCTTCTCTATTTGAATTCAGATGTTTCTGAATGAAGTTAATAAACGATAACATTGCATTTACCTCAAAATGAGTGAGAGAAGCATGTCCCCAAAGGAACGCAGGATATTTGTTTTCCATTTGTTGTTTCCCTATTGACTCCCATTTGCATTAGCAGCCCTCCTACATACATATTGACTGTCCTATTAGAGTCAGCATATTTGACCTGATTAACTATTCAAATCACATTTTTCGCAGTGGTGTTTCACGTATCAGTCTCAGCAATTATAATATCCCAAAGCACAGCTGAGTGGCTTTTTCACATTGCTTAGCTCTTTAAAGTAACGTGTAAACATTTCACAATGCATAACTACAGTGTTCAGTGGGGAAGCTATAATCAGCACTAATACAGCAATCATGCTAAAAGTGTCAAATCGCAAATCTAGACTTTGAATCCAAATGCAGCTGCATAAAGCTTGGACGATTCCCATTGTATTGGCGAGTTGTAGAGCCTGCTGTGATAAATGAGCTATCCACGTATGGCTGTCAATAAAAAGCATATATGGGAAATAAACCGAACTTGTTCTCAATGGCATGTATCAGCGAAGATAAATCATAGTAACAGCCAATAATAAATGCATCATGCTTCTATGTTTTAAACCCTCTGGCAGGTGTATTGAATGGAAAACCTTGTGTGGGAGAAAATAGACCTTTATTGATCAGACACAAGTGCACGAAAAATCTACTGACATCCAGGAAAATGATCCTCTTCCACAATTCTTTATAGACTATCTGGCCCATAAATATAAATGATTTGACGTGTTTTGAATAGATGGTGTGATTATGGAGCTATTAGCCAAAATATACAAAAAAAATCAGTCTCAGTATGAAAGCTTAACAAACAGTCTAAATAATGGTGCCATATTTACATGATATTGGATACACTCGGATTCCCCTTTACTTGCAAGATACACAAACAGGGCCTACAGAGCGGACATTTTTATTTCCTCTGTCTATCCTGCCAGTACCACTTTGACAATTATTTCTTCCCTGCTCTCAAACACACTGCTGCATACAACTGAACTGATCGCAGCCAAAAGTCTGGTTCTGGCCCAATTTAAACATCCAGGTCCTGAGTTAAGCACTAGCTGTAGTGGTGTGGTCTCAAAATATTTTGTCTGTGGCCAGACAATTAAGGATTTAGGTGTGGCAGAGAGGAAGAATGTGGAAATTGGATCCACACAGAGGGCCCGGACCCACACCCTGTAGTCTTGGCTTCCTGTGAATGCCACACGCACCCATACGTACCAGCAAAGAGTCCGCATGGGTTCGCCTGCATTGTTTTTCGACTCTTTCTAGGCGCCCCGTGAGGTGCGGCGTGGGGCCGCGCACTAGCCCTGCTGCCTTCCCCTTCTTAACCTGCAGGACACCAATGGGAACCCATCTGTCAAAGCAGACGACGGCTGAGCTTTCCTGCTGGAGGATTTGGTTTAGTGCTCTTGCGGCGCCTCAGTGAGTTCCGTCTGTGTGCTGGAACGTGATAACGTGGCATTAAGTGTAAGCTCACGAGATGCGGTATGGTCTCGGGGTAGAACTTTGCTGGAGCGTACGGTCAAGTTTTTAAATGAGAGTTTCAGAAACAGCCGATGCCCTGATAACACTGGACAATATGGATCGTTGCAAACAGGAAGAAGTACAACGGGTTCAGCTGAACATGGTCCCCAAGGGTCACAGTGGCATCCTGCCTTCTAAAATCTCTGTCTGTGAACTCAGACCTGGTCTTAAGTAGTAACTTCTTCTGAAAAAAGTTCCAATGGGCACAACTTCCACTTTGTCCTTGTCTAGTGGGCATTAAATTATATTGTCCTTAATAGCCTATAAATGATTTTTTTTTTATCAAACATTGGGTATTTTTAGGCATAATCGTTGAGAATATTTGAATTTTATGAGCTTACATTGCCTGCATTATTTATAAACCTGCATTGTTAACAATGTTTGCATCTGACACCAAGAAAAAAAATACACAGCAAAATAAAACTTTGCCATTGTAGCTGCCCTGTTGGCATGTGCTTTTACTTAAGTGTTATAAACTCAGTTAATGCTAATATAAGCAAAGTCGTGCAAAATTTTGGACACCTCTGGTCAAATTATATTTTT